AGATAATTGCGATTGCCAACTAGCAAAAATTTGCTTAGTAACAAGATTTTTAACATCTTTTTCAATAATTGATTTAGCTGAGCTACAATCAATTTTTAATAAATTTTTTTTATTAAGAAGATCATCTTGAAATTTTGAAATGCATTTTATAAGAGAAAGCATCTCTTTCTTGATAGTTGAATATTTTGCTTGTGTTTGATTCCATTTTCCAGAAGTAAATCTAACCAGAACTTGTTTTGATGTTTTAGGTATTATTTGTTTAAGGATTCCTCCATAGCCTAAGTCTGAAGCATCAGTTTCAACAATTTTGAAATACTTAGGGTTAGCAAGAGATAAATAAGGCAAACATTTCACCTTATTTTTAATTCTTTGGACTGCCTGAGAATGTTTTTCAGTCCAAGGGTCAGAATTCTTTTTAAGCCTAGCATGTAATATTGTTATATCTTTAGCAAGATTTTCATAATAATCTGCTATGTAATTGAGACTACCAAGAAACCTTTGTAATTGTTTCTTATCTGTAATAATATCAGGGAATTTAGAAGCAAATTAAATACTTCTTTGTATTTGAATTATAGTTCCTTGGTCAATTTCATGTCCTAAAAATCTAAACCTTGTTTGAAAAAGTTTCATCTTAGGACCAGATATTACTAATCCATTATGCTTAATTAATCCTTTGAATATTTTCAAATGTTTAATATGTTGATCTATAATTTTTGAAAACACTAAAACATCATCAATATAAACAATAATAAATTTCGTATAAGGATTAAAAATATCATTCATAATATTTTGAAATTTAGAAGGGGCATTTTTAAGACCAAAAGGAAGGACATTTCATTCATAATGTCCAAAAGGTACGGTAAAGGTTGTTTTATACTTATGAGATTCATTAATCTGAATTTCCCAATAACCAGATTTCATATCAAATTTAGAGAAGATTAAAGCATTGTTTAATCTATCTAAAAGATCTTTTTTATTAGGAATATGATATCTAATTCATTTTAACATTTTATTAAGTGGTTTGTAATTAATAACGAGTCTAGGAACTCCACGTTCCTTTTCTGCAGCATTATTGACATAAAAGGTTGTGCAACTCCAAGGAGATTTGGATTTTCTTATTAATTTTTTCTTCAAAAGAAATTCTATTTCTCTTTTGCATAAATTCAAATACTCATGATTCATTTGAGCAGGCCTAACTTTAGTGGGAATCTGGCTTTCATTAAAGTCATCAAGATAAGGTAAAGAAATAACATGTTTTTTTCTATCCCAAAAAGCATTAAGTAAATCATTGAAGATTTCATCTCTAAACTGTTGATCAATTAATTTAATTTGATTTTGAATTTCATATTTTTTTTTAAGTTGAGAAGTGATGTTTAATAAACCCACTTCTTCTTTAAGAAAACAAATTTGTTTTTCTTTTTTAAAAAGAATATCTTTAACTTCATTAATCATCCTAGTATAAAGATCAGTAATAAATTCAAAGGTAATTATTTTATTATTGATGATGGAAGTAATTCCCTTTTGATCAACATTAATCAAAGGTATTATTTTATGCAGAAAGGGAGTTCCTAATATAATTCTATGAGTTAAATTTTTTACAAGAATGAAATGAGTAGGTAAACAAATATCTTTGTTACAAACATAAACATTAGACAGTTTATAATTAACCGTGATTTTATCTCCTCCAGCTTGGGTAAGAGATTGGGTAGTTTTATCAAAATATTTAGTAGGAATAATTCCCTCTTGAAGGTAGTTTAAATCAACGTCACTATCAATAAAGGAAACTTCATTTTCTAATATGAAATTTCTATTAATAACTAAAGTTATTCTAACAAACCATTTTTGAGAGGTCACTCTATCAATGAGAGAAAGGAAATCATCACTAGGTGAAGGAATACTAGTTGAAGCTATTTCTTCAACCTTTGAATTATTGGATTCTAAAAAAGAGACTCTTTGAGATAAACCATAGTTTTCTTTTTTAAGCTGAGATATCTCATTTTTTAAGAGGTTTATTTCGCTATTTAAATCCATAACAGAAACGGGAGTTTCACGGATGTTAGACTGTCTAAATCTAGACAAAACCTCACTTAATTGGTAAGGTGCTTCTGTAATAATGGGAAACTCTTTTTTAGAGTTTTCTTGTATTAAGACTTCAAGCATTTTTATTTTTAGTTTTTTATCAGAAATGGATTCTATAGCTTTTATGGCTTCGTCCTGTTCTGAGGTTAAAACATTTAACCCATTCATCTCAACAATTGATTTCCAATAATCTAATTGACTACGTTGACAATCATTATTGTCAGAATATTCAAAAGAGGAATCAGTAGAGGGTTTATAGATCATATTAATATCTTCCTCTGAAGAATAATTTTCAGAATCAGAATTAGGAAGTAGAACTTTCTCTACTTGAGAACATAATTGTTCATCTTCTATCTCATTAAGAGCTTTTTTAGTTTTTAGTCCAGCATTGGTTGGCATAATGGCCAGGTTTGCCACATTTATGACATGTTATGTCAAGCCTTTTGACTTTTCTTTTACCTTTAGGGTCAAAAGATTTTTCTTTAGGTCTACTCTTATTGTAGTGATCCTTTTTCTTATTCTTATAAGAATTTTTATAAGAATTTTTTGGCGTATCACTATAAGGTTTATTGCGGAAATTTTTTCCTTTTTTGTTTTTATTATCTGGAGATTTTCCAAGATCAAAAGCAAATTGTTCGAAAAATTCACCAAGTTGGTGTTTCTCATAAAGCTTTTGCCTTTTAAGTTGATTTCTAAGCCTTATGTCATTACATAAAGTTAATCCTTCATTAACACAAGTACTAATTATTTGACCATAAGTAAGGTCGGAATAATTTATATTTATTCCATCATTTTTTTGTCTTAAAGATTGTCTAACCTTTTCAGAAAAAAATGGGGTAATCCATCAATAAATTTTGTTTTACCGTGCAAAGAATTGAGATTGTTTAATTGATAAACTCTTGAAAGAAAAGTATCCTTATACCATCTAAAGTGGGTAAGATAAGGACACCTAAGGTTTTGGAGAAGTGTCTGAATTTTTTCTCCAATGGGGACATTGGTTCCTACAAAATGTTGTAAGATAGAAAGACATAGTGTATACACTACATCTTCTTCTCCTGAGGTGGTTGTAGCCACAATAGTGCTCGTACTAGTTCTTGGTTCGTTCTTGACGATTTTTTTGTGATTAAGAATCTCTAATTTTTGAGATTCAGTGAGATAATGATCCCACTAGCCTCTAAGTTGGCCAACAAATCCTGTTGTTATAAAGGATGCTATTGAACTATCAGAATTTCCATGTTGCTTGCAAACAGTAGAGTACATGATCATCCTATGGATTGTATCTATAATTTGTTTGTCATTAAGACCATCAACATTCCATTCATAAATGGCTTTTCCTGAATAAGAATTCCGGAAAGGTTCTGATTCCTCAAAAAGAAAATCTTGCAGTGAGGGACGCTTGTAATAATACTTTTCTATAGGTCTTGGGGAATAAACAGGGTGTATACTATTAGTATTATTAATATCAAGGTTACTAATGTCTAAATTAGCAAACATATCAGAAAGCTGGTCAATATGGTTATCATTATTATCCTCAAAATAATCTTCATGGGACACGACAGTGATATTAAGTCCTTTTAATTTTTGTTCTAAAATATGAACAAATTCTTCTCCATTGATTTTCATTTTAAATCCTTTTATGGAAACAGGAGGTTGCACTATAGGAACATCCGAAATAGTGGATGTGGATATTTGGTCTTTTGGTTTATTTATGTGGTCAATAATGATATCTTGACGCTCTATTTGTTTTTCTAAAAGATCTTTTATGGATAAGAGATCTTTTTCCACGGACATAAATTGTTCTCCTAAGCAAACAAGGTAAGCATTGGTATAATTTTGAGACCTGATGACTGAATTTAATTCCTTAAGAGTAACTTAACTTTGTTCAACTCTTTGTAACTGAACGCTAAGGTAAGGGGTAGCTTCAGTATTTTGACTCAAACTTAGTGTTTGTTTAGGGGGAAAAGGAGATTTCATTATTTCTCCTCTAATGTTTTCCCAAGGTCTTTGTAACACAAGAATTTTTTTCTTACTTTTTATTTATGAAGTAATTAACAAACCATTTAACAAAAGGAACGAAATCCTGCTCAAGGTTCATTTGATTGTAATACTCATCTTTAAATTGAGCTAATTCAGGTTTTGAAATTTTTTTAAAAAACCAATTTCTAAATTGAGAGTATCTCTCATGTTGAAACTCATCATTGATGAGTTGTCTCATCTTACTACCAGAGGAGTAATCTATCATCATAAATGGAAATTCATATCTGACCGAGTAGGTGATTCTACTCTTGGAGTATGAGGTTTTTGATAAATTCCATGGAAAACTCTATTTTCGTTTAGTCTTATATTCTCAACGACCTCTATTTCTTCTCTTATTTGAGAAGTAGAAGGTCTAAGTAATTGACTTGGAGCTGTATAAAATTTACTAATTGAGTGACTAGCAGATAGATATATATATATATATATATATATATATATATATATATATATATATATATATATATATATATATATATATATATATATATATATATATATATATATATATATATATATATATATATATATATATATATATATATATATATATATATATATATATATATATATATATATATATATATATATATATATATATATATATATATATATATATATATATATATATATATATATATATAAAATATTACGTCTCATCACCCATGCCTTCTCAATTAACTAAATATATTAACACTTGGTGATGACCTAGAATAGATGTGTTCGTATATGTTTTTGTTTCCTTATTATTATTATTATTATAAATTTGTGGATAAATGTGTCTTTTTCAAAAAAAAAAATAGAATCCGAAGGAGTACTAGTTATCATAATTTTATTATTAACTAGCTACAAAATGATCAAGATCATGTATATGATTAATTAATTAATTAAGCTTCCCAAATTAATCCTTCAAACAATACCTGAACTGCAACTTGAGATTGGTTGTAAGCTCCTCTTCTTCCCCAATCTCCAATTACCAAGAACCTTAGAGACCCATCTGATTTAGGTGCATGCTCAAACAATTGAAGCTCTGCTGAAGAATAAACCAAACATTGAGTTATGATAACTATGAATACAGCTAGAAGGAGCATGATGAGTTCAATCAGAAAGAAAGATTTTGAGGGATTTAATTTGAGAGAACACTTAATTGGTGACTATAATATATACAACTTTAAGAGGAAATAATTAGATGATTGTAGGGTTCAAACAATTAATTTAATATGGAGTTGCGATAAGGCCAATCATTCATTTTCCACGTGCATGGGGTCCATGTTATATGTTTTTTTCAATAAAGTAATGTCAATCTTTATCTTTAATAAAGAAAATATACTATTATAAACATCAACATAATGCACCATTATTATATACATGAAATCATAGTGTTAGTTGATATTTGCACAGCTAACATTTAAATCCTTCTTTACAACCTACACACTTTTGACACGTTATACAAATGAAGGATTGTGTAAAGAATTACCACAACTTTTATATAAATATCTTATAGTAACGCTCTTATCTTTATTCATCTATTTGTTTCTAACTTTTTTATATATTATATTTACATTTTCATTTGCAAATATTTCCACAAATTTATCAAAATTGACGATTAATTAGTATATGAAATAAATTTTATACTAGACATAAAAAGTAAATAAAAAATGATTAGCAAGAAAATATGACTTATATAATAAAAATAATTATAATATATGAATTATATATAATTTTTTTATGTTATATATAAACTTTTTTATCAGCAAATGTTGCCACAAATCACTAAAATTATCAATTAGTATATGAATAATTTTGTGATTTACATTAGACATAAAAAGTAAATCAAATAAATAATTAGTAAATCACTTGATATATTTTTTTGAATCTTTTTTAGCATAAAATAAAAATAATTATAATTTAAAAATTATAAGATTTTTTATACTTCAATTATTCACAGTGTTTTTTTAAATGAATCGTTTAAAAAGTTGTTGAAAGATACTATTCATACATAGAATAAATGTCGGTCACTAAATGAGAAAAATTATAATACACTGAGTAATTAGTTGAATTATAATACACTTAATTTTTTTACACGTTTTTTTAATGAATCAGTAAAAAGAGGTTGAAATGTACAACTCATACATAAGACAAATATTTATAAATTAGTTGAATTTAATTTTTTTTGACAACATAAAAATTATAAAAAATAACTATAATATATTAATTGTAATTATTTCATGGGTTAATAGGTAATTTGTCTCCTGTCATTTAGACGAAATTTGAAAAATCTTCTTGAAAAAAAATTAGATTCTCACCATAACATTTGAAGATTCCATTGATTCAGTCTCTCCTTAAATCAACTCATCAAATTATCTGATGTGGCATTATCAGTGTATAATACCATTGTTATTTTCATTTTATTTAATATTCACGTGTAATTATTTTCATTGAAGATTACTTTCACATGTAATATGTCATTAACCTTAATTCTCAAATTCAATTTCATATCCAATTTCACGCAGAAGCTCTTTGTCTTCTTCCTAAGCAAACCTATCTCAAATTCTTCGTTGTCTTCTACCCAAGCCTGAGATTCGTGCTTCAAAAGGAAACAACATAAGTACTCAAGTACTGCATTCGTTGTGTAGCTCGTTCTTCAAAAAGGTACGATTTGTTCTTTTGTATACTTTACTTCAAAAAGGTACGATTCACAGTGGTCCCAACTAACATCGTGTGTGTTAGTTTGACATTTATTAACATACTTTATTGCACTCAGATTATTTATCTTTCATCGTGGTAATTTCTCTTATAGCTCGGTAATTCTAGTTTAACCATTGGGTATTTTTGTAATTATAGACATAGGCGTATTCAGTGTCATCTTCCATCATGGGGGTAACTTTGTGCATGATAAGTCACATTTTATAGGGGGATGATACAATTGTGAAAGGTCAAGATTCTGACACTTGAAGTTTTTTTGAGGCTGTGAGTTTAGTTAAGAACTGGGGATATGATGGATTTTGGTTGTGGACAAAACTCCCAATGATTGATGAAGGGTTTCTTCATGCCATTGATGATGTACTAGTTGAAGCAATTGCCAAACACAACACTGATAACAAAGTTGATGGCGATATATGGGTGGAGCATGAAGTTCAAGATATGATGCGCAAGATTCTAAGTCATATTGTTGTTCAATTCAATGAAGGTAGTGATGATGGTTATAGTAGTGATGATGAAGTTCGAGGCATTAGGTTTTATGATAGTGAAGAAGAAAGAACATGGGAAAATAATGAAGGCTTTGTGAATTTTGTGGTGAAAAAACCAACTAGTGGTACAAGGGTTGATGTTAATGGCAAATCTCTAAGGTATAAAGTAAGGGCTAAAAAAATCAAGAGAAGCAAGGTGGTCACTCAAAGCTAAATTTGTTTATTCCTGCGAAAATATTGGGCTCTAGTTCTAGAAGGTTACCTAATAATATACCAAGAGACCTTGAGGCAAGGTGGTCACTGAAAGCTAAATTTATTGCATTGACTATTGTATTGGACTAATTGGCCACTTTGTTGGTTTATTATCATTGTCTATGTGCAGAGAAAAATGACACGGACCAGGTTCAACTGCTGATGCACCATTAGAAATTGAGGATACACATATTGTTGATACACCTGTTATTGTTATTGGCCAAGCAGACCCCAAAGTAGAAACATGTGTGCGTATGATGAAATCATGGGATTAGATATCAAAGAAACTGTCCCAGTAATGTGTAATGTCATTATATCATGTTTTGTCATTTTGTATGTTGTATTGTCATTTCGAAGTTTGTATTGTCATTTTGTTTTGTAAGTTGGAACAATAAGATTGTACTGTTATTTTGTTTTATGAGTTGTAATGACATTATGCCTATGGCAGCTTAATTAAATATGAAAGTACTATTTTGAACAACTATTTTGTTTTGTAAGCAAAAATTTTTTTCATTCAATTCAAATTAACCATGTTGTTAACATAGTGCATCACAATGTTATTGACATAAGTCATCAATACAACATTCATTCTACATAATTAGCACCTAATACAATACAACTATCTGGCTGCTAAGACTATGACAAAATAAACCCAAGAACAAATAAGTACTACAACTAGAAAATCCAATTTCTTCCTTGTGCGCTCTCTAACTTGTTCTTCATATCTTCCATCTCCTTGAAACACACATTTGACCCAAATTCTCTTCCAAATTCCTTCCCAAAATCCCTTCCAATTTTTCTCAAATACTCTATCATGACATCACATCTACTACAACCATCATCATCTTCCTCAATTCTTTTCCTATCAATAGAACCAAAGTATTCATTATCCCAATAAAATAACTAGCAGTCTTCTTCTTTCCCTCAAAATTTGCACTTCCAATATTTTCTTCCAGGATTTGCAGCAGACTTTGAAACGAACACCTTCATTGAAAGACCGTGTCCACATTTGGGATTGATTCTACCATTAGAGTACATGTTATTCTTTGAACTTCCGGCCATTGATTGTGAACACAGGATTGGAGGAAGAAGACGCAAATAAAACGGAATGTGAAGATGGGAGATGCCTGCAGATGGTAGTTCAAAGGAGGGAGAAGACAAACAACAATTGCGTGAATTTGATTTGGAATTTAGAGTTCAAAATATATTACATGTGGAATTCCTCTTAAATGAAAATAAGTTACTCATGAATATTAAATAAAATGAAAATACAAAGGTATTACATAATGGCAATAATACATCAGATAATTTGATGGGTTGGTTTAATGAGATACTGAATCAGTGGAATCTTCAAATGTTATGGTGGGAATTTAAATTTTTTTTTATAAAAGGGTTTTTCAAATTTCGCCCAAATGGCAGGGGGAAAATTAGCTATTAACCCTTATTTTATTCTCCAAGTTTTTTTCCACATTAACTTTTCAATTGAAAATTGAATCATATGCATACAAAATATTACCGGTAACATTAGTATAAAATAAATTAGTGTTCTTATTTAGTTTGAGATAAGAATGTATATCTTTATTTGTTTATTTTTATTACTTATAATTAAGTTATAATAGTATTTTAAAACCCAAAAGAACAATTTTATTTATTTTTTAAATAAACCAGAAAATTAAATAGATTAATAACAACTTATGGTATTTGGATCGAACTCTAGTGTCGACAAGGATAACTTCATGGTTCAACAGGAGTTGTATATGTTGTAGTCGAAGTCTATTCAATCATAATGTCAAAATATATTAACTTGTAATTTAAGTTAGTATGTCGAATTGGGTCTTGCTTCTAAGTCTAATTGTTAAGTTAACTTATATCATAAGTTAGCTTAGTAGTCTATACATAGACTAGTTCTCTCAAGATGTTGACAGAGGTTAATTGTTGATATTCACTTGTAATCATTGAATCCTTATTGAGAAAGTGAATAGAAAAGCAGATTTAACTAATTCTTATTCTTCTTTCTTCTTCTCTCCCTTTTGTAAAACCTAATAAGGTTTCTCGTGTTTGTTCAAAAAACTCAATTTTTTCCTCATATTTTGGTTTGTTCTTGACAACATCAATTCACAACAAACTGTCGGGGTGAGCGTGAAGGAGAATATGTCATCGACAAAGTATGACATTGAGAAATTCACCAGTGTGAATGATTTTGGTTTGTGGCGCTTAAAGATGCAAGCCCTTCTTGTTTAACAAGGTTTGTTAGAAGAGTTGAAAGGATCAGAGAAGATGGATGTTGCCCTATCGGAGAAAGAGAAGACAACGATGGTCGAAAAAGCCCACAGTTCCATTGTGTTGAGCCTTGGTGATAAGTTTCTTCAGCAGGTTTCAAAGGAGAAAACTGCAACTGGTGTATGGACGAAACATGAAGGTTTATACATGAAGGAATCGTTGGTTAATCGTCTCTACCTGAAGCAAGCTTTGTATTCATTCAAGATGAGTGAAGACAAAGCCTTGGCTGAGCAGCTAGATATGTTCAACAAGTTAATTCTTGATCTTAAAAATATTGAGGTCAAGATTTATGATGAAGATAAAGTGTTACTGTAACACCCCATTTCTATACCCCTAAATAAACAATTAGATCATATAGGCACTCAAAG